AAAAAAAATAATAATAAATCTTACTAATATTATACATTCGAAAGCTTAGATTTATGGATGGATGTTTGTTAGTGTTCTAGCCTAAACTTTTCGACGAATTTCGATGAAATTTGGTACTGATCTAGAACTCACTTTAGAAAAACACACAGCCTACTTACTAAATTTTTTTTAATTTATCGCGGACGGAGTCACGGGCGAAAGCTAGTATTTTAAGTAGTGCTTTAACTGTGCATTTACGGATTGCACGCATGACATGTGAATATTACCCAATAAGATTTTTATAAAGGTTCCAATGTTTGTATGTGTGTATCTAATTAAAATTACTTCCGCCAGTGACCTCAACACCAAAAATTGTGTGTCAATGACTGCCTCAGAGGCACTGACATTCGAATGGTAAATACAACATGTATGTTATCTACTTTTATCTCTTGCTTCAAATGTGAAAATTTTTAGGGACATTGTTCGTAGACAATTGTGTAATTCAAATTATGTGACCGACCTTTAGATTATGCAACAATCTTCTATTGAAAAAAATATTTTTATTTTACTTGCTATAGTAGTAAGAAGCTCTCGGAAGTTGAGATCAAAAATTAATTTTGTCTCCGGAATCTAAGATGATCTTTGCCTTAATTTACAGGACAAAAACCAGAAATAATAATTATGAATCCATAAAAATAACACCTTTTTATAGACGTCTAAGAAATTGATTGTACTTCTAATAATTAGAAAGCGGAAAGCGTCGATCATCAATGGCAAATGGTGCGTTTCACAAAATTTATTGGTATTTATTGTATGGTGAATCGTCAATTAATGTCTTTGTGTTAGGCAACGATTGCAAACCGGCGTGTAATCTCGCAGAGTTATGTTCGCAACACTGTGTCATATTGTTGTGCGCCCGCATTGACGCGTTGACACAGCTTTCTTTTAAAATATCCTCGCTTGTGTAACTTGGCACATGTACCTACATTTTACAATCAATGGCTATAAATCATTTTATCTAGTTTCAATATATTCTTTCATAACACGTTTGTAGTTAAATAATATTGTTAATGTGTTTTTAGATAAGTGGCCTAACGAGCAATGAATCGTACAGTTTTAGCTGAACTAAGTCTAGGTAATACATAAAAATACAGGACTTACATATGTCTGTAATACACAACAGACCACAAAGGTTTAGTGGCACACATAGCTATGATTTCGTGTTCATGTTCAAGAAAGGAGTGTTGAATTTCTAATAATTGAATCATTCCTACATAAGAATGGTACAAGTGGGTGGGCATTAAGGTGATGTAGATCTGAGGAACGCGGTCGGGGCCGACACTAGGCTGCCTCAAGGCGTAGTGTATAATATTATACCATTGTTGTCACGGTACTTTATTCACATTATATTGCTAAGGATCTTAAAGATCCATTTTGTTTTCCAATAACTCACTTCGTTAATCGGTATTGTATATATGGTACCCATTATTAAATTTAAACATATACGGAAACTAATGTAACTGGTTTATTAATGTTATTAAGGTCCTTAAGAACGCATATTTAAGGTCATTTACAAGATGTATTTGAAATGACAGAAGAGTATGTATTCGTATAGTTTAAATTAAGATCATTCTAGAAACACTATTCATATTTGACATTGAAAATATGTAACACGTAACACAAACCTTGGCATTAGTGTGGATTTATTTTTTTTATTTTTAGTTATGCTATTGATTATTAGACAAAATAATAAGTCGTTAGTTATTTGTTTTTTGACGTACAAAGGGCGTGAGTATGTCGATGAGGATTGGGACATCGCGTACCTCCGTAGAAAGTCAACTTTCTTTCAACGTCTGACGCAAGGGTATGACATTACAAAGGGCGCGGCGATGTATAACCGTTTATAATGTGTCATAACTTACGGATGCTTTACCGAAAATGACATTTCTTAATTAGACTTTCCAATAACTGACATTATAAAATACCATTGACGTCACGTTTTTTGCGCGCTTTTAGCCAGGAACAACTATCATTAAAACAGTATATTTGCTACTAATAAACTTTTGTTTCGTAAATTAATATGTATGTTATATTATTCATTTTATTTACATTTATTTAAAAACAAAGTGTTCACAAAACATTTCCATATAAAGTTACCAGATCTGCTGTTACTAAAAACCGGAAACACGAGTATAAACTGGACATAATTATTATCATAAGAACCGGAACATTAAAACAAGAAACGGAAATACTAACTGGAACATGGACATGTAATGTATAGTTTATACTATTAATATAAAACATTGATAAAAACAAAGGGAGTTTCTCTCAAGCCTGGATGAAAAACATTTTATCGATTAAAAATCCCGCCAATGGTTTAGAGGTAAAATCCAAAAGATGGCGCTATAAAAGAAAATATTAAAATTCTGTTATTACATACAAGTTCAGTGTTTCTATTTACACTTTCTCTGCACTCCGCTGCTTACCACACTTTACGTCATAGCGTGCCATCGTAATACAATGCTGTTACGGCGAAATGGTCACCAATAAGTGGGACAATAGCCCCACAACGGCCCTATTAGTCATACTTGTAGGTTAATCTTTTTTACGTTATTCATTTATGGAATGTAGTACGTAAGTAATTGATTATTAAAATAAGCATCTTTTGTATAATTTTATTTGTCGGAAGTCCAAACGTTACGTTAGAGCTTGACCTTGTTTATGTTTTATTAACGAAAGATAATAAATTAGGTAAACATTTACGAACAAACAAGATATTTGACACATATATGACACTTACCGATCGTTACAATATGATGAATTTGCTGTTCATTGTTTAATATTGTCGACTAAAAATGTAAGACAAGAAGTGTTATTACTTTATTACCCTCTTTACATATTATAAAACAGTAATAAAACATTATTAAGAGGAAGGCTTTTATTATTGTATGTAATAAAAAACTAAATATCTGGCTCGATTTCCAGAATTCTTTTACCATTAGAAAGCTACATAATCACTGTATTAATAAATATAGTATTAATAAATTTAGTAATAACTAGATTTTTAATTTCGCGACGACGGAGTAGAGAGCACCAAAGCCACCACAAGCTACTTTTTTCAACCGCTACTGTTTAACTAAATATGATGGCAACTCGAAGCGATGTAGTAAGGATCATTTGGATCTTTAACAACGCATCTACTCCCACATGTCTATTGTGACGATAAATTTGTTTTTTATTACAACACTTGTTTATACGTTTCCGTTCATTGTGACGAGTAACTTTGCCGCCATTCATGAGGTTCTGCATAGATTTTTTTATCATGTTTCACTGAATTTTGCACTCAAAAGCAAAATGTTTGAAACGAATTGTTGTATGTAAGTTACTTGACGTTTGAAGATTCTATCGAAATGTTAAAAATATACGTTTCCTTAGATTACTTTCCACGATATCTTTTACTAAAGATTCAGTCTTTTATGATTACTATTAAATTATGTTTTTTTTTATTTTGTGTAGAGGAAAATGATTTTTTGTTAAAAAAATGCTTACCGGATTTCCGCGGTTTTCTTGTACTTTTCTCTTTTCATTTCCACGCGCTTCGTTAAAGCGGACGTTTTTCACTGTTCATTTCACATCGCACACTCATCGTTTTATACGTAATTAATAACAATATACTATCCAAATCACTATTTAAAACACTGCCTTTCTTTCTTCACGTTCTGTTGATTGTAGCCTGTAAAAAATATATTTAAATTAATTACAATAAGTGTTGATATAAGAAAGTCTGAAGCGGCAAGCTAAATACTACACTGACTCGTCTAATGTTTGAAAATGACTAAAAATGTAACATTCATATGTAAATAAATGCAAATGCATGCGGAAACAATGACGCAATTTAAAAGTCTTTAACACCTCGCCTGTGTTGAATCCTACGTTTTTTACTGCATGCAACTAACATGAAGTGAAATAACCTTTTTAAATAACTAAGTATACTTAGTTAATTTACTTATTAGAACAAAGGTATAAGAACATTCTGAGGATATTATCTGAGAAAATTTAATTATTTTAAAAGTGATCTATTTTAAAAATACGTCTTTTTCGTATGCTAGATTTTGTATGAATCGTCGGATATTGGTTTATTCCGAGTCGACGTAAGTGTTATAAGGTTCATTTTATGTTTGGAACTTTGAAAGGTAAATTGTTTCACGCTAGGACTCGAGAGTATCGTAATTCGAGACACAATTAGAATAGATTGGTGTGTGATGTAAACTCCGGTCTATTGTACCAAGGACGCTGTTATCCTTCACAATTGCTCCACAATTTTGAAAGCTTAAAAGCTATCTAATTACAAATCTAGTTTTAGTTGATTGTAAAGGTGCGTTCACAGTGCAAATGCATATGTATAAGATTTATCTGTATACCATAGAATAACTGTGAATTTCTATCCGTCAGTTTGTCCAATAAGTATGATTTTTTGAAAAACTGGAAAGACAGACATTTAACAAATAGATTTTCAAAAAATACGATTAACTAAGGTTATTGTCATTTTTTGAATTTACGTTTAAGTTTGCCTTATTATAAATTTGGTAGTATAAATAATTTAGTCTCTAAATCGTACCAAAGTCAGCGCTCACGGTTTCAATGTGAAGGGGCTCTAAGTGTACGTGCCCGGGCCTGTTCGAGACTTGATCCAACCGTTTCGTAATATTAAGCTTTCCGTAACTAAAAGCGATAAGTAGCTTAATAACTTGATAACCTAAAAGATAAGTATAAACCATTGTATATTATAATAAACTAGAGGACGCATTCGTACGCACAGAATAAAAAAGTAGCTTACGATAATCCCGCGTGCATCAATTATCTACCCAACAAGTTCCGTATACAATGCTGAAAAATTTAAATAACGTTCAATAAAAATTAGTAGCTTCATTTGTTCATATGTCGGAACTTGTGTTTTTTTTACTATATTTCACTAAAATGGGTAAGATAATTTCGTCTAATAATTACTGTATTGTCTTTTTAGTGACAAATTAATGTTTTGATTATTTTTAAAGTTTTTTACTATATACTTATGTGTGCATTACGACATCGTAAGCAAGTCGTGGAATATTCTAGAAGCATTAACCAAAGATACGTCGCATCGCGTTGCCTGTAGTCGTGAGATGTTGCGACTTGCAGTTGCCAAGACATCGGTACGTGTATTCAATACGAAGGAAATTTTACCTCTTTACAATTCGAACGCCACGTGAATGTAATGATATTGCAAATTTCTCAATACGATAACGCTCGGACGGGAAAGTGTTCACAGGCTTTTAATTTAATTTGTACTATTCTTCGCTGGTATTGATTACATAGTTCGTGAAATTATGACATATAAATAGATTTATTTAGCAGCCATCATTCAAATCTATGCTTCAGTCTGTTTTTTTATGAATGATCTGATTAAATTCAATTTATGAACAGTACTTATTATTATAAATTTTTAAAATCTCAAATGTTAAAATCATTACGAATTTCGCAAACACCAGACACAAAAATATATAATGTCGTTTTGCAGTCATTTAAAATAACGATTGTTTGCAAAGCGGTCCATTTATGTACTAATCGGTATAACTTACATGAAAATTTAAATATAAAAGAGGTAGTAAATCATACATTTAATAGTTTGTGTACTTGAGCTCTGTGTTCAATTGCACAATGACCTTCATCTTAAGCTCGGGGCTCGGGGGAGTCGCGGCGCCGGCGGCAGCGCAACGCAATCCCATACCACTTGCAATTAGTTTTAATGCTAATGGATGTTCGATGATTGTTGACATGCGATCTATTGTTAGGAGATTTACTTTTAAATAATATATTATTATAATAAGCAAGTTATCCTTTAGTTGTTTAGCTACTTATTGTTTTAAAATTATTTTTAAAATACCATCATGCGTTCGTGATTGCGAATTTTAGTGTAATTTTTAGATTTATGAACATGTGATTACGTTGTGTTATTTTTTTTTGTTAATGTTATGATAAATTAACTTTAATTACTAGAATATCGTAGTTTTTCTTGATTAACTTAGTTAGCATATTTTTGTTAATTCGTTGTTATTCGCTTTATGCGTAGTCATTCTATGGTATGTTTGCTTTTACAAGGTTAATTAAATAATGCTTAAAACATTACCATAAATTCATGGCACTTCTTTTGAAATTTTCATAATTGCGAAACAAGTACTGATGATTATTTTTCAAGTGTCAACTCGCAAAGCTAACGGTACGAAGGACGGCAGAGTTAACACATAAAAAGTAAATATAAGGAAAATTATAACGCAAACTAGAGGCGACGTCTGGTAACTACGTAGTACATAGTTTGCGTAATGTTGAGACAAACATCAATCAGAGGCGGCCTTGCCCGAAATTTAACAACTACCAACATTACTAACGTTAGTACTCATTGACCACGATAATTGTCAAGAAAATAAAATGCAGCTAAAAAGTTAACCTTTGACCAGCTTGTTCTATTCAAAATTATTTTTTAACATAAATTTATATGTACAATGCAAAGTTTACTCTAACGTGACTAAAGAAGTGACTTTTGTTAATATCTATTCCATTAATATAATGCCATTTAACGTTACTTTGTCTTGTTGAGATTTTAAAAAGAAACTTTATATGTCACGAATTTTCTTTTGAAGAATCATAAAGATAACCCCTGAAACTTTACCTATCAGTTAAACTGTACAGTTCAGTTTTCCTAAAACCTTTTAACTGTACAATTCGACTGTTCATCACAACTAATGGTTTTAGCTTAATGTAACCTTTTTTGTTATTATTGAGTGATTTCAAAGTATTCATCTACCATTTAGACATTACTTATTATGTTAGCCCATAATAACATAAAAGGTTATCTGTTATTTGTTTCAGAGTAGAGATTTAAATACGTGAGAATCTATTACACATTGTGCTGTGAAGCTTGCGATGTGGTACATGTTGCACTAGCTAAATTTAATCATAAACAATAGAGCGAATAAAATTAATTAAGATTTGTAATCGAGACACGCCACTACGTGTACAGATCCATTAGTTTGATTGTAATGAAACCTCCTTTGTTTATTTATTGGTTTCAGTATTCAGCCAGTTATATTGTTTGTGAATGTGGCAATAAGAGTCTATTTAGATTCTAATTATAAAATAAACAAAAGATATATGTTAAAGTTTTGTATTTAATTTATTATTAGTTGTCGTGACAACATTAAATAAATGAAAGTGACTGTAACTTTCTTCATTATCTTGATTAAATATATTGGATTATTTATTTTAGAGTAGAAAGAGAGAGCGCAAATAATGTGAGATTAACGATAAGGATAGCAAGTGGACATTTTATGCAAATGTCAAGACCGCAGGCACAGCTGTGTGATGTGGCAAGACACGCAGTGGAACCAGTCTGCTATTAGAACAATATTACCGAATCTATTACTGAATGATGGTCATAAAGGGTTTGCCATTTATAGACACAAATTAGGTCTGGGGTGTAACTATCGTGGGTTCTTGTATTTGATTTTTAAATTTGTAAAATTATTCAAAATTCGACATCCAGATAAGGAACAGATTATGTTTCTTGTTATTATTGGCTGTAGCTCGCGACTTTGTCTTCGTGAAATTTAAAATATTTAGCCTGTGTTACTCATAGTTAAATTACCTTTCTAATGGTGAAAGAATTTTTAAAATCGACAAAGTAGTTTTTGAGTTATTTCAATCTACAGAAAAATACAAATCTTTCCTCTTTATAATATTAGTAAATAATAGATATAAATTGCACATTACAGATGTGGAAACCAAAATCAAGAAAAAGGTCTATTTGTGAACTGTAAATCACAGTTTTGACAAGCGATAAATTAGAAGGCGAATCGGGAGATGTAATTGCGTTTGTGAACTATTTGCATAAGAACCCGTGAGCTGTTACTTACTGAGATTATTCTTGCGAATCGGTCGGCATATTAGTAACGGTTGCAAATCATCTATTTTGTAACTACCTCGAGCGTTGCTGTAATGTGTGAACTATCGGCCGTTCGACACAATGCCGAATAATAAGTCACTTATTAGCAGCTTTGTGTCGCTTGTTATATAACGTACTAGCTAGCAATATATCTATTACATGTTAATTTATAAGTCATTTTATATAAGGTGAGTTCAAATTATTATGATCTATTATAACGATGTCTGTGAATTTGTAGAGCAGATTTTTTTACCTTATTAGTTACATGTTCTTGATTTACTCCCTATGAAATGTAATTAAAATTTGACTCAAGTGATTTTATCATTAGTCTACGAGGCCAGAGCACCTTTCTTTAGAACATACGAACGCTAGTTCATAGTTTAAACGGCATCTAGCAAGTACCTCGGCTACGTGCCTATAATTCATTTGGTCACAGTCAACAAGTGGCATTTATTCTCACCTTATTGCACTTTGATACTTAAGATAGTACGTATTTCTTAACCATATATTATTATTATATGTATTTAAATAGTGAAACGCAAAAATCATACAGTAGAGAATTGTTGCCATTAACTTTACTGTCGTTTAGAAATATACGAAGTTTTCTAGTTACGTAGCATGATGTCATATTTGCAGACAGCATTGACAAGTTATACGTTACGTGTTTATTGAAACAAGTGGGTGGCTAATAAGTGTTTTTTAATGTTAGTGTTACAGTGAGTAACGTGTTTGTTATGTTCCTTGTAAAAGACATCAACGCGTTTGTTTGATGTAACTCAAGTATTTTGAATCATATAGAAATTACTCGATATTTTCGTATTGGTAAAATATGATACATTGTACATCGTATTATGATACATACGTAGACATTGTATCATATGGTAGAATACAAATGTCTATAAACATTAAAGTCTTTTCAAAATGCCGATAGCAACAATTTAAATTAATTTATTCACCTGCAGCGATTATAATGAAGCCCTTGACTTATAGGGCTAATGGTCACAACACAACACAATCACAAGGAAACGTTAGTTAGGGAATGCGGAGGTCGCCGGCAGAGAGCGCGGCGGTCGCGCGAACACTGCAAACTAACCTCGTTCCTTGCGTCGCACTCTGAACCTCCGCGGAACGAAAGCGCGCGAGAAAGGGACGACTAGTCATTTCTTTCTTTCACTCTTTACGTTTCGCCAGCTTTCTTGATGATTAGCTGCGAGTTTAGATTTTTTATTTAGATTTTACATGATTGTAATTGCTTAGCTAGATATGGTTTATTACATTGACTCTAAATAAGCGCATTTGTAAGATAAGACTAAGAAAAAAAAAAGCTTTTATGTGATTCGTTCTCTTAGTTAATACTTATTTAAAGTGACTGAGATTAGACAAAAAAAAAATGTGTAAAAAATGACGTAAAGTACAAAATACCAAATATTTTAGATTTCAAAGAAGTGTTTATATTTGGCATTTGTTTTTCTATTCGAGTTTAATTAGGATTTGTTGGTTGAAATAGAAGTTTACATAAAACTGAAGAATGTTTAACGATCGAAACAGACTAATTTCAAAGAAAATATTTAAATGTATTGCATTTGTAAATTGTTAATTAAATAAGATTTACCTAAGTGTGTTAAAAGTATTTCCTTGTGAGTATAACTAACTGTGCATTGTTATTCAGGAAGTAAAGAGGATGCAGCTAACTGCACGGAACATCGCAATGCGACGCTTATCGCTTTCTTTTATTAAATAACAAAACAAAAGCAAGTCATAGTAACAGATAACTTGTACGGTCTTCAAAAATAGACAAGCTTTAAAAACAACAATCGATTGAGATGTTGGATAAATTTGTGCTAAGATTAACACAGTAAGGTTAGCAACAAAATGAAACTCTAATTTTGCGTAATGATTGGAGACAGATAATTACATTTATTACAACAGTCATCATCATTAACACAATACGCCTTAACTCTCATCTCACTCCCGACCTAGCTTAATACAGTGCTGGTTGGTTGACTTCACACATATCTTTGAATTTCTTTTAAATTGGATGTACATATGAAATGCGAAAACCATATTGATGCATGACGGAGATCAAACCTGGACGCATAATTTCTTGTCCAGTTCGGTCAAACGCTTCACAATTGGGCCACCGCTCGAATAGATAGTATTTCGGTCTAATTGGGAAGTAAAATAAACGCTGACCAAAATGTTTAATTTCAGTGTTCTGATAAAGCAGTAGCTAATAATTACAAGACTTAATAATTACGTGAAAGGAATAAAGCAAAATTATTAGATAAAAAATTTCGCGGTCAGCTATTTAAAGAGTCGCAATTGTTCCCATTCTCACACAATTGCGCAGCGCAGCGGCCATACATCGACGTTCAACACAATAACAACTGAATGCTAGCGACTGGAGAAGCATTGAGGAAGTTAACGTCACAATTCGTGTTTATGTTATTCGCTCCACAATTTCTAAATTGATGGACAATTATGCAATCGTTTTATTCTAACACAGTTTGTGCACGATTTGTATTCGATTAAAAAATTAATGATGCGTTAATTACTTTGTGGCAACATATTGTATAACCTTTGTTATTATTACAATAATAAAAATAGCAGCATGATATAACATTTACCTCAATATTATATTTAGTTATATATAACTATAGCTGTTGATCGCGACTTTCGTGAAGTGAAAAAAATATAGCCTATGTTACTTAAGATAGTTGTAGATGTCAGCCCAGTACGTACGTGAATCGAATACATACAAAAATCCAAAATAAAAATCTTTCCTCTTAATAATTTAGTATAGATTATGATTTAATATATCAATTTAGTAATCTACGATTTACGGTTAGAAACATATTAGTCTGCTTGTGGTCAAAAGAATCGACCGAAAAGATAAAAAGTGAATTAGATGCGTATCTTTTTTTATCGTACAATATTTATAGGTAAATATAGGCTTAAAAATTACAGAATTAATAAATTTCAAATGTAATAATTTGTTTGTTAATCTGTTAAACTGGGCTCTAAGTCTAAAAGGATAGTGAAGAAATAAATTTATCTTAATTTCTCAGTCGTTAGGCATCACGTTTTTACACGAAACAATTGCCAAATGATTTATATAACATGGACTATACAGAGCGTTAAATTTTATGATGCGTCACTGATCGTTGATGATTTAAATGATGGTTCAAAACCTCTGTGATATGCAAATGATGAACTCTCAGTTGTACACATGTAAATTATTTAATCAACATGCTAGTTATAAACATAGAAAGTAGGCATTTTTATGTATGGGAATTGTATGAATTACAACTTTTTTACACATTAAAAGTTTTGATTTTTTTTTGTGGATAAGATTTTTCAAACTAAGTTACGTGTTAAAAAATAACTGCAAAATGAACAAGAGATGAAACTTTCGAATTATCTTGATAAGTAATTTATCAATTATTGTATTGAACTAGAAACCTTCATTAAAATCTAGAACGTCTTGCCATTCTCTTGCAACACATCAATAATATAATAGCTTTTTAATGCTAAGATGATCTGATTTTTTAATGTCACTGGGTAACATCAAAACAACGCCTACGTCATCACAAAACAATTGCTTTTTTAGAAAATGTAGTTCATTTGTTCATCTCATTTAGTAGTGTCGTAAGTATGTAGACATCTTGTATCTGTACATCTGAATTGGATCGTTAAAAATTAATGCTTTGTAAAGTTGCGGTGTTACACTCTATTATAATTTCATAATTTTAAAGTCGTTGTTATAAATATGTTTTGTTATTTTGCGCAAATAACGACTAAATAACAGTAATAGTAAATTCAGACAAACTCAGACAGATCGAAAATCGTAGTCCTGCAATATGTTTTGTTTATCAAGTTTTGTTTAACAATCAATTGTAACTAACTACACACCTAGCCAGTTTTAAGACGCGGACGTTTTTTGTTCCTTAAAAAAACGACTTTTACTTCATTACTTAGGCTGAAATTGCTAAACATTTTTTTCAACATCGTTATATTTTCAACAATAAAAAAAATAAGAAATGAAAAGGCGAATTCGTTTTGCTTTAAACTGTAACAGAACAGAAATATCAATGGAATGAAATTTGTAAATGTTTGCCAGCATAATGTCGATAGTTTGTTGAACAAAACGAGAGAAGTTGTATAAAGAGAATTCAAAACATCGATTGTCTGACATCGAACATGTCTTTGTGATGTTAGAAATTCAAAACATTAAAGGCAGAGAACTAGATGGCATGCAGTAACCTAATTTAATATAACCTATCGTCAACGCATTACTTTTAAAATTCATATAAAAAATATATGCTAAAATCGGGTGAGTTACCGATACAAGTTTGTCGGGTCCACGTACTACTTAATGGTTATTTTCTTATAGATAAGAAATTCGTAAGTTTTTCTGATGGAATTTTGACTTGATCAGATCTATGATACTTAGAGATGAATTAATTTGAATTTTTAAAATCACGAACTCACTAGTAGTGCAGATTACTAAAAAAGTTGTTACTACGATTTACCATACTTAATATTTTATTTACATTTCCTAAACAAATAAATCAAATATATGTAAGGTAAGGTCATGTGAGGCATGACGCAGTGTTGCAAGCTCAGTGTAAATCGAGAGCGATTTGTTTGAGTGCAATATGATAACATTAAATGCACTTCGTCTGCGGCCTTAATTACCGGACGAGTGATTCGACGATCACGTTCCCCAACGCACGGATTTAAAGTCACGATATAACTTTATTCATTTACTTTGTTATAAAAACAATCTATTGCCGAATTTTCTGTGGAATGAATTATGCGGTTCATTTAAATTATCACGTGTTCTAAGCTAAGTTAGAATTATTAATTACAATTATTTTATCGCTACATCACTGTAGAATAAAAGGTGTTGCAAAAAATAGTAGAATTTACACTTTGTTGGCGTGATGCTTACTCATACATTACGGATTATACAAAAAAATTGTAACAATACGTTATTTAATATTCATGCACTGACTTCATAATGCTGATATGTACGAGTATATAAAATAAAAGTTAATGGAAAGTGCTAAAGTTATTGGGTAACATTTATAAGTAAAAACTACATCGAATTTCTCATAAGAGTTATATAATTATGTACAAACACAACATTGTATCATTTTCAATTCGTTTATTATTAAAATATGCGAAGTATTATGCAAAATTTCAATTAAATTCAAGTCTAGTAAAGTCAAGGTGTGATAAATTTAGCAAAACTTAACCACGCGCCTGCGGTTAAGTCGATGCAAGGCTAACTTATGCCACTTACTTGAATTAAAGTAGTCTCAAATCAACGACCATAAATAATTCAAGTTTGAATCTGAAGGTTTGAAAAGTAATTGTAGAGAGGAATGCGTAACGAACAAATGCGTTTATTAAAATTTACTTTATGCACTATACTTAAAATCATTTTTTAGATTATTAAAAATAAAACAAAATCGATAGATTTAAAAGACGGATACAGAAAATACGATGAAAGGGTTAGGCACTACAACGGGACATATTTTACTTTGTAATCCATATTAATTAAGCACTAAGCTTATTCTCGAGGTATAAAATAATAAGATGGTTTTATGTAGTAAATAAAATTTATTTTAAATTATATCTATTTACATTATAATTAATAAATTTGTAAAAAATATTCATCTATTAGCCAATATCTACTTCATTTTAAAATCATTTACATTATTTACAATTCAATACATTTTTCTTAGGAATTTTGATCATTTTGCATTAAAAATCTATACTTAAAACTTTTGTACATTGTATTGCATTTTCAAAATTTGTACTAAATCATTTTGTGGAATTTAAAAGCATACAATTTCAATAAATAATTTACCTAATGAAAGAAACTTAACATAAACTACAGGCTGATGCGAAAAATAAATTAAAAGATGATTTTTCGATGTTAAAAGGCAGTTTGACTTAGCTTAAATCATGAATACAAGATTTTCAAAACAGTAATAATTTGAAATTTATAATAAACAATATCTTAAATTGGAGTTTGCAAAAATTTATTTATTCTTCGAATCGTTAATTTAATTGGAAGTAGATACATTTTTTATAATTTTCTATAATTACAAAATCTTATATTCATGTTTGCAATATCTGGCAGTGACAATAACAAGTATCAAGACTGTTCTATCCGAAGTTCTCGAAGTGATGTATAAAGTATGGCAGACGACGCGTGCGATTGACCTGCTCGCACGCAGACATTATCGATTTCGTGAGCGGTCGGGGACCACAAGAAAATACGCCGATCTTGGATACCTTAAACAAAACACAAGCGATATAGTATTCAATATAACTAACTAGTTACTAATTATTAATACTACTGATTACTTTTTTCTTTATTTAAAATTAGCTTCATTTCATACGTGGTCAGAATAGAACGCTAACATTAATCATCCGGATTAACATTTGAAACAATAAAGGTATTGTTTTTTTCGCAGCAGAACAGAATTGTACAATTACTTACATAACTGTGTTTCTTTTGTACGAACTTAAGGA